CCCCCCCCCAAACACACAAACCCCACCTCACAAAGTAGATCTTCATAAATAACAAAAAAATTACTGAATAGAAGTATTTTACCTTGTGGCAGTAGATATCAACTACCCAACCATTGATGTACTTTATTAGAAGTGCTACCAATATGTTCCTCTCTCTCTTGACAATCTCCCAATAATTGGTGTGAACAATTCCTACGACCATGCGAAATTTTTTTTTCCATCTCTTCCCGTGATGATACCATGTAAGATGCTCGGGCTCCTCAAGGACTGCGATATCTGCTTCATCATCTGGGATAACTACTGTAATATCCCCCAAAGCAAGAATGCTCCTTATATCTAGAGAGAACTGCACTTCGGAACACAACAATTTATTTCTAATGTAACCCAAAAGCATATCAATTGAAAAAGATAAAAGTACTGATAAACTAAAACAAGCTGCATCAACTGGCAACTACTATACATCATAAGAGGAGTGCCACTCCAAGAATCTTATCATGATGAAATGGCACTAATTCTAGAAGAAGATCGAAAGGAGGAGCTGCAATTCCCCGACAACTAGGTTATCCCTCCCTTGTCGTGATAGTTATTGTTAATGCACTTTAGATGTGATTATTAACAGACTTCAAGTTTACCATTCCATGAAGAAGAGGGGAAAATGTACGATCCATAGTTGGAAGCTTGAGAACAACTTTTATAGGAAATGAATTACTATTTGTTTTCAACAACTAAGGAAATGAAGACAAAATTATTATTTGGAGGCATACACAAAACTTTATAAGGAAAATATATGACATTCTAAATGCACGGAGAGCTGCTTCCCTCCCCACACTCTAGATCAGTCTGGTAAGGAGGAAAAGAAGAATAGTAACTCATAAATATGAAAAAGAAAAGGCACCCATATGGCCATATTTTAAGCATAGTAATTTTCAATTTACATGGTACCTATATTTGATTCAGAAGAATGAACTTTTCACCAGTTGAAGTATGTAATTGGCTACACTACCACAAATCTAAGAGATTGGAGTTTTCAGTGTAATAAAAATTAGACGGGTTCTTATTCATATTTCAGACTTTGAGTTACCTTTCCAGGATAAAAGCGTATACTAAAATTAGATGCAAATCCAGTCCTCTCTTCCACCCATTGGCGGACATAATTTTCCTGCTCCAAGTGTGAATTAAAAGTGATATTATTGGGAAACAAGTGTTCCTGATCTATCAACGGCAGCCAGGGAACGACCAAAGTGACCTTCATCCTACCATCTTTTGCAAGATAGGCCGCACGAAACAGAGGATTAACAGAAGTTCCAGTTAGCCATGGGATGCTTGCAGTAGTGAAGATGGCAATGTGCTGTTTCTTGTCCATTTATGGATGTCAACTCAATTTATTTGCAGCTGTTTTAACATACCAATCAGTGTCAGGAAAGGCCACCTTCGCACACTAAATTTGAAGCTATTTATGAATTCCATGAAATGCATAGACTCATAAAGTGTCTTCAAATAGAAGTTGTCATTTGATGGATGAAAATACTATGCTCTAAATCACTATCAAAAACCAAAAACTTATGAATAATGACTTATTCAAGCAATAAAGTAAAGAAAAAGGAAAATGGTGGTGCAAAAGACACAAAAACTAGTCATTAAACTTCACATATTACCTTCCTAGTAAGTATACAATCTACTGGACAAGGAAATTCAAAGACAAAGGCACAGTTATAAACTCCAGGAACAAAACATCCTAAACCCTAACAGTACTTTTCACGCATAACGTGACATATTTGGTAAAAACAAAATTCTTAAACAGAAACAAATTGAGTTAGGTTAGAAACATCACATAACACACAAACACCCATTTACAGCAACTAGACTTCTAACCCTTTCCACAGCAAAAAAATGCACAAATTTCGACCAATCTGAATAAAGGGGGCTAGAAAATAGTACTAAAAGCTGAATCTTGATCAGCAAAAGTGGCAAGAAAAACAAAGAACTGAAAAAAATAGACAAAACCCATATCAGATTATAACCTTGTCAGTTATTAGTACGCTGAAACACTAAGACAAAGACAAAGACAGAGATTTAGAGGCGGAGTTTAAGACAAGGTATCTTGAGTTGCTTACCTGAATTTTCTCAAACGCCAAGTTGAAGATTCCACACGTTTAGGCAACTTTCTTGAAGAAGAATAATTAGTGCTTTTGAGGCAAATGGAATAATTAATTAATAATACTCATACAAGGGAATAATAATAAGATAATGATAGTAATAATATTGGATTAAAAAGCTAGAATGGGCTGGAAAATGGGGTTTAAAAGCAAAGATGCGAATAATGAACAGGCACTCAAGGAAACTACTTGAACAAGTACAAGTTTGTGTTAGTTTTTTACTTACCGTTGAAAAAAGAAAAGACAGACAAGTTTGCTCGCGTATAAACACTTGATTGGTTGGTTGGTTTGCTGACGAGGTTTTAGAAGGCTTCATTGGCACAACCAAATACCAGCACTGTTTGTGGGCCCCGATGAGTTGCTGGATTCATCCCTGGCACGTGCTAGATTCGGTATCTTTGTTGGCAAAAGTCCAAATTTACCCTCAAGTTTGAAATATAGTGGGCCTTTGTACATAAGAATTGTGAAATTTCGGGAAAAAGTAAAAAAAGTTGTAGTGGTTATTTGAAAAATAAAGTTGTGTTAGAGTATGAATATAATTTTGAGCTGTTTTTAAATTTTTGTGAGTGATTTGAAGTGAAAATTTTAAAAAATAATTTTTTGGCATTTTTTAAATTTTCGAAATTTTTTGAAATTCATCGAAATCGAAAAGTTCATGGCCAAACACTGAAATTGAAAAAAAAAAGTAAAAATAAATTGACAAAAAAGGGATCTTTTTTATGGCAAAACAAGCCCATAATCTAGATTTGTCCTTAGTTAATAAAAGATCCGAAGAAACTCGGATTATTTCTAGGCAAAAATTAGTTGGATTGATAACTTTTTGGGCCGGCTATTAGAGGTTAACCATATTTCAAATTATAATAGTAAAGTAGCCACGCATCCAATTAAATTGATGTTTTTGCCCTCAATTAAAACACGAAAGACAATTCCAACAATCGGTATTGGGTTCGAAGTTTTGGCAAGTGAAATACCAGTAAACTATGCTGAAAATAAAAAAATTGCTGAAAACTCATGAATGATTTCTAATTTTTAATATTTACTATTACAAAATCCAGAAATGACTCCGAATTTTTTAACCTTTACTACTATTGCAATCCAAAAATGATTCCTGGTTTTTGAATTCAGATTGTACTTCAGTAATTTTGAACCTTTACTAGTGTAAAATTTTAAATCTAGGAACAATTCCTGATTTTTGAACGTTTACTAGTGCAAAATTCATGAATGATTCCTAGTTTTTGAAATTACATTGTACCTCAGCAATTTTGAACTTTTACCATTGCAAAATCTAAAATCCAAGATAAACTACTGATTTTTGAAATTTTACTAGTGCAAAATCCAAGAACTATTCATGGTTTTTGAGTTTATATTATATTTCAGCAATTTTTAACCTTTAAATACAAAATTCAGGTAGATTACTTAGTTTTTGAACCTTTACTAATGCAAACTTCAGGAAAATCCCGAACATTCCATGATTTTTGAAATCATAAACTACTTCAACAACTTTTAGCTTTTAAATACAAAATCCAGGATGATATTTTTGAACCTCTAATTAGCATAAAATCCAAGAAAATTCTTTATAATTTTTGAATTCACATTATATTTCAACAATTGAGAGCTACTGGTTCATGTCATTCAAACTCCATGAATAATTCCTGGATTTTGAACTTATAAATATTAATAGTCCAGTAGTAGTCCTGGAGTTTTTTAGTGTTTTAAAAAGGAGTATTTTTGGGCAGATATTTCCGCTTCAATGTGTGACTATTTTGCCTATATAAGTTAAAATATCACTAAACTCTAATAGCCACCTAACAAGTTGCTATTTACAAAAAAATATTACTATTTCTTGACTGTGCGTAGTTGTCTATGTCGCATAGTGCTAATTAGAATATTGGTCTAAATTGTCTCTATTGTTAGATGTGACATTTGTGAATATAATACACACTAATTATATTAAATAAATTTAATTAGAAGACCCCTAATATGGAATTTTGATAATACTTTTATATCTGGTTCAACGTTGGCAGCAAACAGCATAGTTAAAAAAATTAGTGAGTTTCTGCGTTTTCTAGTGAAAATCCATAACTTGATTTTGTCAAAAATTACTTGTACTCATTACCATAAAAATTTTAAAAAATTAGTGTATATTTGGTATCTCAAAACTCACTGTTTTCAACTAATGAATTCACCTCTTTGTTGTTCTCTTTCAATAAAGTTGTTACGAAAACATTTACTACCATTGAAATTGGATTTGACTTTTGTAAGCTAACACCATGCACGTAAAGCAAGAAAAATTAAGAGTGAGGCCATCCTGCAAAATAGTATATGAACTTATATTCTTTTCATTATTATTTTTAATAGAAATATTAAACATAATATTTAATTTTTTATTATTTAGAATTTATTGAAATGATGTGTAAAGCCATATCTCTACTTTTCGATTATGAAATTTTGAATAGAAAAATAGGCAGCACATGGAATATTAAAATGAGCCCCATATTGTACAATTTTTTAGCTTCACAAACTTTTAACAAATTTCCCCCGATAGTCGTTTAGGCGCCCTTATATATGGCGTACTATTTCATTTATTAAAATCTTTTATGCCCTTTGCTTTTTTTTAGTTGTTTAAATGTATTTTTCATTTAGTATATATTGCAGTAATGTGTAGAACCATATATCAACTTTTTGATTATGAAATTTTAAATAACAAGATTTTATGCCAAACATCTTTATTCTAAAGCAAGCATAGACCAACAAGCAGATATCTCCATTCAAAAAAAATTGAATCTATATGGAGTTCTAATTTAATCTATGGTTGACACTCCTGCTTTATTTTTATTTTGTGTTCTTATTTGTTCTCTTTTAGTAAGTTTTATCTCTGTGGATGCGGGGAAAAAAAACTTTTACGAGAATATACCATTGTAAGACTACTTCTCAATCTTGTAGAGTACAAAATAATTCTATTACATAATTTTCTTTTATATAATTAAGAGGGTGTTTGTAATCTTATAAGCTGGTCAAACTGGCTTATAAGTACTTTTTAACTTATGTACACGTTTGATAAACATTCAAAGCGCTTATAAGCTAAAATCAGTCATAAGTTGGTTATCCCAACTTATGGCTCTTTAGCTTATAAGCATCTTTAGTTTGACCAAAATTTTTACTAGTTTATTTTTTAATTCACAGAATATATTTCCCAAATAAGTTTTTTAATTTTTCCTTCATTCCACATTCGTTGTTCATCCTTTCCTTTAAAAAGATTTTTTTTTAATTTATAACTTTTTGTAAAGTTTTAAGGGTATTTAGTCATTTATCAACATTTGTATACCATACACATCAACTACATATTATCAGTTTCAGCAAATTTATCAAAACACGTAAATACTTATTTAAAAAATTAATTTCATCACTTAAAAATATTTTTTAATATTTCAAACTTATCAGCTATTTATAATATTTTTTGACAAAGCAGAGTATAACCGACTAACCCGAATAGCAAAGAAACGGGTTGGATTATCCAAATAGCTCAACTTTTTTCTGCTGGTAATTTGAATGCTTGGTCAGTTGCATGCGGCATTTGGGTACACTGCCAATTTCATCGAAACAGTGCCCGGCATTCCCAATTTCAAACCCTAACAAATTGGATCGAACTTTTAGCTTGAATCACTTTCCCTATTAAAAATAAATTATAGTTTTTCTATCTCCCCTTTTTCTTTTAAATCCGAAGCTGGGAAAAAAGAAGTAACTTCCCTATTGTTGTGTTTTACCCAGGTACCCAAAATTATAATGATTCTTTTGTTTTACGGTACGATAATACTGATTCAGTTTCTGGGTTTTCAAATTCTTGATTCTTTGTCACAAGTAACGCACTGGGTTGTCCTAAAGTTTTGTTCTTTACTCTTCTTTGTTGTTTTCCATTTCTTGTGTGCATTTTGAATTTTAGCCATAGGAAGGTAATAGAAAATTTAGGCTTGTTGTGTGATCATTTTCTACATGTCTTAGAATGCTTTTGTTTATACAAACATTATCTTGGTGTGCACCATACAGCAATAAACTTCTGCCGATTCATTAGAACAGTAAGAGCGAGAATAAGAGACTGGAAAACGGAAATGCAGCTACGGTTGAGGTCTTTGATTGTTTTTAGAAGATTTAATCACTCACCTTTACTTGAACGGTAAGAGAAATAAAAGGAATCTGATTATCCATCTTAATATAATTGTTTCTCATAAGATATCCATTTTTGCATGATCCAATTTGACCATAAATTCTTCGATGTAGGATCAAGTTTGGTTACCGAACATCATCAATCAGTAATTGTAATGGAAGTCCCAACTTTGACGTAACTTATTATTTGCTGGCATGTTTGAGTTTATGTTTTTCAATAATGTTCAGGTTTGAACTGGAAAAATGCTGATGGGCCATGCTGATGGGTTTCCAAATCTCGGTTCATCGTCGAAGTTACTGCATTCTGATCCTGAATCAGAGCCTGATGATGATGAAGAGGCTGATACTCCTGAACAGATACTATACATGGCTTCTTTTGATGAACTTGGAGCGAAAAGTGTTCAGTATGACACTATAATCTGGCTCTCTATATCGTTGCTGCTAGTTTTAGCTTGGGGTATTGGAATAATTATGTTACTCTATCTGCCCATACGAAGATATGTGCTCAAAAAGGAAATTTCATCACGCAAACTGTATGTTACTCCAGATGAAATAGTTTACGAGGTATCAATTGCTTGATCAAGTCATGCTGTTTTCTTGAGACAATATAGAGCTGATACATTTTTTTTTTGGTCAATTGTAGGTGTCAAGACTTTCATTTGTACCATTTTGGGGACACGTAAAATTTGAAAAGCACATTCCTCTTCCTTTAGTGATAGATATTATTATTGAACAAGGTACCAACTGCAACTTTTCTTATCCTATATCCTTTAAAACTCTTCTATTGTTCTTTTGGTTCAACCTCATTCAAAATTTTTGCATTGATCGGCCATCCATTGATAAAGAGGTCGTGCTAGATGAACAGTGGAATGAAGTTATGCTGGACAAGAATCAATCCACTATGCCTCAATCCCAAAATAGAGGCCTTAACTTTCAAATGAATTTTATGTTCCTGCTAAAAATTGGACTTTTCCATTGACACTTGTGGGCTAAATTCTAAATTCTGATTTGATCTCACCGAATCACATTGCATAATACTGCTCTCCAGTCTCATGAACGTTTTGCCCTGCTAGTGGCTGCCGTTATCTATCTATAACCAAAGCACATAATTATATGTCTTCCATTTTCCTCAAAACTTAAAGAAGTAGTAACTTCTCAATTGGTTGCATCTGGCAAAATCTTACAATCTCATGAACATCTACTAGTAATTTGTTGCATGTAAATTATATGTCCCTGTTCAACTGTGAAGTTTTGGATAAGCAGATCCTTGGTTGCTACATCTTTGAAGAACAATTTAAACTTGTCATTACAAGTTTCACAAGATCTGAGCTTGTGCATGTCTTTCTCTGATGTAAAGAGCAGTAGAGAAGGTATAGTATCCAATCAGATTAAGAGAGAAAAAAGAAAAGGAGAATCTGACTTGACGGTCTTGTGGTGGATAAAGTAGTAATACTCTATACAGCAAGAATAAACATTTTCTAAGAATTTGAGTAGGAAGAAAAGGAAAGCAAGTTTAGACATTGAGCAGATAAGCGTTAGCCATATCGTAATGCAACTACTAGCCACTAGCTTGGTAATTCTCATTCAGTTCATAACAGTCAATATTACTCACCCATGGCCGTTCATTCTCACATTCATTATCTTCTTGAACTCTAAACATTTTAAATAATTTCTCTTTTGTTCTTTTCAACTGTTTTACTTGATAAATTATTTTTTCTGACCCTCTGTAGTACCTCATGAACGCCTTTTGCTCCCTATTGCTGTTAAAAACTTTACCAATTTATGTTTGTAGGTTGCTTACAGTCAATGTTTGGTCTGCACACCTTCAGAGTGGAAAGTATAGCACGTGGAAAAGCTGCACCAGTTGATGAACTGCAGGTGCAAGGTGTACATAATCCTGGACTCCTAAGGAAGGTAAAATAATCTGTTATGCTCTGTGAAACTTCTCCTTTTGCTTTTGGGATTTTTCACTCAATATATTAGTTCCACTGATCTATGATTTTACTTTTTGTGGGTTCATTGGCAGACCAGAACATTGATTATGAAGTTTGAAGTGTCAATACATTTTTTGCAGGTCATCGTAACTGAAGCATCAAAGGTCATACATGTTGGAAGGAGTTGGAGACCTGTGGTTCAAGGTGGTGACGGTGAAAGTATTTCTCGCATGGAGTCCTTAACTCAGGCTCCAGCTGTTTTGAGATCACCATCTAAAACTTTAAAGGTAAGAACGATAATCCAACATTTTTGCCTAAATCAGATCCTTAGGCCCAGGGTCTTTTGAGATTTTGTTTACCAGGTTGGTTATAGAAGACCACTTTGTCTGAATTTACTGCTATGGGCTTAATTTCTTCCTGAAAATCTTAAGACAATGTATCTTTTTGCATGGATGATAGTAAGGCGTAAAGTTGTATTAATGACGCCTGATCGCTATAACGCACTGCAGAAGGGCATCATGCCACTAGATCAGATTTATCTCTTTGTTTTGGGCAATTTTCATGTCAAAAACATAATCGAGAAACACAATGAAATAGGGTCACCTTATCTTGTCGTTTCAAGTGATGTCCCGTTTGTCTATATCATTTTATCTGAACCTGTTATTAAGTAGAACCCCAGTACTCTTACATCTAGTAGCAGAATACAGTTTTATCTTACATCCATGATCCATCATTACTATGAATGGACAATGTAAATCAAGTCCTATTAAAATCTTTCTTTTTATCTTATTTTACTTAAATATCTGAACTTGCATCTATCTATTATGCAGCTGACAGGCTCCCCACGCCATGCTTCAATGGAGCCCAGAAGTTTTGTATCTTCTGATTTTCTGCTTCATAAGCTTGAACAAGTTAATAAATCAGTAAAGGTGAATACCCCGTCTATTACTGCATGTTACTTTCTAATTACTTGACATTTATCGCCTTGAATACTGTTTAAGTTCTCAAGATGTTTTGCAAAGCAAATGAACCGAGTATGATCTTATTAGAAACAGCGAGCATAATAGCAATGAGTTAGAACTTCATTTCATTCTAAGCATATTCTTTGTGCCAATGAAACTTTTTCATTTTAAACATATGCTTTATGCCATGTTTTTGAAACTTTCTCTCGTATAACAAGTCTTCTCTTACATGACCAGAAAATTGAGTTTCTTATCGAGAAGTCCCCAGCCACCCCAGGAAGCAGCTAACAGAATTGATTTATGCCTTTGCCTCAACAACATAAGCACTCGTATGAACCAGAAGAAGTTGCTTACCTAGAAACTCTCAAGCAACCCGAGGGAGCAGCTATTGGGGGTTACTTTGTGCCTCATTAGCTTTTCCTTGTAAGAGCTTATGTAACCAGAAAAGCTAAATTTGCGTATGGCACTCCAGGAACCAGCTAATAGGATATCTATGCCTCATGATGTCAGCGTTTGCAATGCAAATTAACCGGTTTAAGCCATTGGGTGTGAGATCTTCCCAACTGGTTATAGTTCCTCCGCATGAGAGTTTGGCAATCTAGATTTGCTGCAAGTTTGGATCAACTTTTGGACTATAAACAGAGAGACTCTCTCTTTCAAGCAACTATACTTGGCCTCATTTGTAATAAGGGACTTAGAGCCACATTTTAATTTCAAATGTGAAATCTTAAAGTGTTTGATAACCTAAATTACAGTTGTATTTGGATTTGATCATGCCTGTCTTCTCGGGTTTGGATAAATGACCCCACTTGTGAACAGCATCAGTAATTTGCTTACCAAAGGGACAAAAGTATATATTACTCCCTCTTATATTAACGGTCGTAATTATTAGAAATAGTTGTCTCAAATTATTTGTCATTTTAGAAGTTTAAGACAAAATTGATTGTTTTTTTTCCTTTTTTATCCTTAGTAATAATTGTTCTTGAAGATGGAGATAACACATAGAATAAATATTCACTGAAGAGAGATTATATTTTAAGACATAAATAATGGTGGAATAATCTAATCCTTTTTCTAATTAATATTTCTTAAGGGTGTGTAAAAGAGAAATACGACACATAATATGAGACATAGAGAGTAGTATATCATAGGTTTATCGTTTCTCGCAATATTTTGCATTGGACAAAACCTATTTTGCATACAGTCTAGCCAAACTAACACTTAGGGTGTGTTTGGTACGAAGGAAAATGTTTTCCTAGAAAATGTTTTCATGAAAAATGAGTTGTTTTATCACTTATTTTCTCTTGTTTGGTTGGTGAGTGAAAAACTTTTTCCGAAAAATATTTTCTTGTGTTTGGTCAGAGAGTAAAAAATATTTTATTTTTTATGCTACTTTCCTTACCCCCTCCCCAAGTCCATATGTTTCCTTGCTCCCCCCTCCCCCCTAAATAGCCAACGTTATCAAGACTCTATTTTCTTCAAGAATTTAATCATTCCTTTAAAAATTCACACAAACCCAAAGGAACTAATGTGGTGCTTTACTTTTTTATGCAAAAATAACATTAAAATTTGTGCTCCATAACTAAAAAGAAAATATTCTTTTTTGGTTGAAAAAAAAAGTACTCTTTCTAAAACATGAAAATAAAATTCTATTTTTATTGAAACAAAAGAAAATACTTTTTCTACATCATGAAAAGAAAATACTTATTTTATTGAAATAAAAAAAGTACTTTTTTTTACATCATGAAAAGAAAATACTTTTCTACATAAAAAAAAGTAATTTTTTTTTGTTAAAATTAAAAAAAAATACTCATTTGTTGAAATAAAAAAAAAAATCTATCTATAACATGAAAAGAAAGTACTATTAATAATATTTTTATTTGGGGCGGGGTGGAGAGGGTGGGGTGGGTAGTGTTTGACCAAAAAATATAACTTCCGGTTAAACTATTAAATTTATGTAACAAGGGGTTAAATCTAGTTAAGTATAATAGCTCTAGACACTGATCTTGAAAACGTACAGTAGATGGACAAATCCCGTAAATGGTTGATGGCAATAAGTGCAAAATATTCTTAAAGCATGAACATTAATGGAGATATAACTAACAATAAATGCCATTTAAGTAAATAAGGAGAAAGATTAACCCAATAATGAATGGGTTGAATGAATATTTCTCATGACAATGATGAATGATAGATAGGTCCAAGATTCGTATGATCAATCCTCGGATCTGGTGGAAAGGTGAGAATAATATGAACAAGAATCTTTATCAAAAGGTAGTCTTTGTATTTTTGCGAGAGAGAAAGTATTCTTCTCAAAAGTGTTCTTATCAAAATCAATATTACATGCCCCTATCATTGTCGCTTCTTTCTATATATGAGGCATTTTTCCTAGGAAACCCTAATAGTACAAATGCAAGGAATATCCACTGGAATATTCCCTTTTAGTATCCTATCCTGGCAAATTAGCTGTTACAAGTCTTATCATCAATAGTCAATCTCGACATCGACCCTTGTTGATATCTCGACTGCGACAACATCTCGATTACGGCTCATGTCGGCACCTCGGACAATGACTTCGATGCATCTTGGGCGAGCTCGACCGACTCTTTCTTTAATGCCATATTACGCTAAATATCCTAAGGGCCTATACAGGTAGGTGGGGTTGGGGATGGGGAATAGGGTGGGAGTGGATTGGTGGGGATGGGGAATAGGGTGGAGAAGGTTGAGAAGGATGTTCGGACTTGGCTGATTGGTAAAAGTATATAAAAAAGTTACCAATACTTGGTTTTTAGAGTTCACTTGAAAATGGTTCAAATTTTATATTTATAAATCATTAACAACCTTCGTTATAAATTTGTAACTAATGTAGTGATACTTTGCTTCTCGTTAATATCCTAATAAATTTGCAAGTGAACATATGTAATGTGGAATCATGAAGATAATACAGTAGTTAAAATTTTCTTAAAGAATATGTAATCAAGTTCGGTAAAAACAAGAAATTTTCAGGGGAAAAAAGACCCACCAAGATCTAACCTCGGCCTGACCAGCGAACTGAATTGAAAAATGAGCAGCAAGAAGATATTAATAGTTGGAGGCACAGGCTACTTGGGGCAGCATCTTCTACAAGAAATCCAGTATACTCTTCCATATGCTCTCTCATTATCCTTCACATACCACACCAACCCTCCTCCTGAGCCTCTACTAAGAGCCATTCCTCATGTCCTACCCTTCCATGTTGATTTACAAACCGGCAATGGCTTTGATGCCATCTCTCAAAATTTTGGTCAGGTCTGAATTTTACACCACTAAAGATTCCATTTTTCGATTGTGGGTCTTGAAGAATTACTATTCTTTTGCTTGCATTTTCATTTTTGGGCAAGTTTACATTTCACACAACACACAGTTACTGAAGATTCCATTTTTCACTTGTGGGTCTTGAAGATTACATTTTTTTCTTTTCTCACTTCTATTTTGGTGATTGAGATATGCATCTCAGAAAATTTTGGTTTGAATTGCACTACATACTTAACTAAAAATTTCATTTCGTTTTTCTTTTGTCGGTCTTGAATGTTTTACATTTTTTCTTTTTGCATTTTCGTTTTGGTGATTGAATTGTTACTAAAGATTCCATCTTTCTTTTTGTTAGTCTTCAGGAATTACATTTGCAGTATAGAGTAAATTAACTGTTTTCTAGATGCTCACTATGTCTTGTACTTTAGTTTTCTTTCTGAGAGTTTGGGATTCTACACAAGGGAGTGTCCATTTGTGTTGTTCATATTCTATCTGATATNATATATATGTTTATATAAAATTTAAAGAAAAAACTTCTTATACGTATATGTATAGTAAAAGATGCACTCGCTGCCTTCAAATTCTTGTTTGCCTCGACTGATATCACTCAGGGTGGTTAAATTTATTTACGCGTGGTTTTGGTGTCTGTTTTTTGTGATCAAGGATAAATCCCTAAATTGTGGATTGCCTAGTAGGTCAAAATTATTACTATACCACTTAAAGTGTCTGTAATAGCTAACATCATGCTTTGCAATGTGAATGAGCAGCCTGATGTTGTGGTTAATTGTGCTGCACTTTCTATTCCGCGTGCCTGTGAAGCGGATCCTACTGCTGCCATGGCTATTAATGTGCCGTCTGTTCTTGTCAAATGGTTGTCAAGCTTTAGCAATGGTGGTACTCTTCTGATTCACTTGTCTACTGATCAAGGTAAGGCACATAGAAGTCGTTGTAGTAACAATAGTTAATTCATTACAGAAGTATGAGAGTTTCTTGCTTCTGTCTTGAGCTGGTTATGCTTCTTAGGCTAAGTATGTTGGTTCTCTACAGGGGAGGAGAATGGTAAAACGTTGATTTACTTTAATTGGTTCTGCTTGGTCATTGTTTCACTTTTTTGGTACAGTTGGAAATAAGTAAACCTAGATGAAATGTAAAATGGATATACTTCCTCCCTTTGTAAGACTTCTGAGAGTGAAAATTTCATCGCGGAGTATGCAAGTCCTCCACTATTACCATACTCCACTTCTACTTGGTTACTGGGCAGTCTATTCTGCCCTTGCACTCATCTTACATTCAATGTTGCTTTGGAGCCTTTGACTTCGTTTACACTGATATAACAGATTCTCCTTTTCTCGTTTGTTGAAAAAGGATTCACCTGTTTCATCAGATGTTAAACTTTATCTCCTCGCTAAACTCTGTTTCAATGTTGCTTTGTGCCTGCATTGAAGTGCCGCTAAGTGAGATGAAGCACCCTACCTGCACTGCACCTAGCTTGACGGCTTAAGCACACCTCAATTTGAGCCATTAACAACACTGCTGGCTATCAATATCATAGGGCCCAAACCATATATACTTAATTCCTGGTGTAGCTACCTCCGAAATTCCTTCCTAAGAAACAAATTCTGGCACAAGCATGTCATTAATAGATAAAGAACTGGTTCCTTCTAACACATGGGAAATTCTTTAGTATCAAGGAAAGCAGCAGTAGGTTTGACATGTTATTTTGAAGTTTCTGTAACTCCTCAGGCAGATACAGGTGAAAATGTTTAAAATTAACTAGACACTTGGATAAGGAAGATACTGACTTCAATATCTGGTGCATAAAAATCTTGACAAAATTAGGACGTTAACTTCTGTTCACCGATTTGCCTGATATTTTTGTTGATGTTAATTCTTCATATTGTTTGTTTGGTAGTGTTCCTTTCCATGAATAGATTTGAAGAAGTTTTTTGCAACCTAAGAATCTGTGATCATGCTCTCTTTCTTGTTGATATAACTTTACCAAATTGTTGAATGTTCTCATGTGGCTGGACTGACAGTCATTTAATTTTAGAATGTTCTCATGTCTCTTGACTAATGCACACCAATTTTAATGGGACAAGGTGAAGCTAATTTGACTTCATTTCAGTTTATGAAGGGACCAAATCCTTCTACAAGGAAGATGATGAAACCCTTCCTGTTAATGTTTATGGAAGATCAAAGGTAGCAGCAGAGCAGTTTATATCTGCAAATTACTCAAATTTTGCAATTTTGAGGAGCAGTATTATTTATGGACCTCAGACTGTCTCCCCTGTCCCAAAATCACTTCCAGTTCAGGTGGATACGATGAACTTCACCTTATTCTTGCACTTGTCCAACTTCATTAAGGGGTTGTTCAGTAGACTGAGTGGGGGCCATATTAGCCTCCATGTTTTCTTCATTTGTTTGCTACTTTGCTTGGAAATTTAACCACTTTATATCTTTTTTTGATGCTTAACCTAACCACTTCATAGTATGTCAAGCTTTTTTTTTGTTTGGCCTGTAAGTTGATTTAAACTTGATATTGAGATGTATTCAAGCTCACACTGTCACACATAATAATTTGTGCTCTATCTGAGATTACTATTGAATTCCATCTATTTGTACCCTATTTTTGGACTCAATGGTCATATCATAGGGAGTGACTAGTGAGTAACTCTATTAAGCTTTATAATCTATAGTACGTGTTGTTACATTAACTGAACATAAAATTGATTAGTTAGTCATGATTCTATTATGATACACCAACAAGAACAACCACGTCTCAACCAAGCATTTCTACTATGATATATGGCATTAAATTACTTGACTGCTGGGCTTTGTCTGATTCTTCACATGAAAATCATGCAGTGGATGGATAGCGTTCTTGCGAAGGGAGATGCCATGGAGTTTTTTCATGATGAGTTCCGTTGTCCTATCTATGTTAAGGATCTCGTGACCATCATATGGACATTAACGAATAGATGGATCTCAGGTTTGTCATGCTTTGACCCTCCAGATTGGATTGCGTCGATCAAAGTTACATAGCTTTTTGACAAGCCTCGATGTCTGTATTAACAAAGATGTGATACTCTTTTACCTGTTACCTTTCTCAAAGAAAGAAAAGAAAAAGAAAAAGAAAAGAGGAGTATGTGATACCCTTCTTCACTTTTTCTTTTTTACATGTGTGTGTTATGTTACTGAAAGCTTTTCACTGTAATCTCTGATTGGACTGTATCATGCTCCTCTTTTTGTTTTCTGAAAGTCCATTGTAAAGACCTACAAAGGTTCTTCTTTTCAGAGGTAGAATTGGAGCTTTGGGGCAGAAAGGTATCAGTTACCTTCTGAAAATGTTCTAGGATTGGTTCTATTCTTTATGGTAGTTTTCTACATATTTAATCCACCCTTTCTTGTTGCATGATAATTCTTTTGAAATATATTATTGAGTTAACTGGAATATAATCCAGAACAATAGTTCAGCTCAGTGTCCAATGGTTCACTATGGCTCAATGCAGAAAAATTCCACAACATTACTATCGATGTGGTTGACATTTATATTATCAAACTTTTTCCTTTTAAAGCCTTGTAGTAAAGTTTGTGACTAAAGATTACCTGAATTTCTGTCTCCTTGACCTTTCGCATTTTATCACTTGATGTGCGTTGTTTCTAGGGAGAGAGCCGATACAGTTACTTTTGAACGTGGGTGGACCAGATCGTGTTTCCAGGGTTCAGATGGCTGAAGCCATTGCACATATTAGAGGTTATAATTTGTCATTGATCAAACCAGTGTCTTCATCAACTGTAAGTAATATTGACATTTGCATGTGCACACAAACAAATTATCAAAAGTAGACTCTTAATTTCTCATTTTCCGGCCAGCTTCTGTTGTACCAATACATGAGCTTTCAATCTGCTTTCACCGTCATTTTCTCCCTGTTGTGTTGCACTACTAGCACAAAACAGCTGGAAGAAAATATCGCTAATGCTATTCTGTTCAAACCATGTACCTAACATGCGTATGTTATCTGAACTTTCTAGGTTAACCGCGGTGTAAAATCTCCAGCAGATATATCCATGGATATCACCAGATTGATTCAGACACTCAATATGTCAACAACTGCATTTAGGGATGGTGTTAAATTGACACTTGAAGCTGAACTTGCTTCAGCATCATAGTAGCTTGTCACTTGCTCTTTTACCAGAATGTCATCTTTGGGGTGTATACTGAGGTTCATTGGATCTCCTGAAGGGATAGTTGCTGCCGAGCGGTCGGTAAAGCCGTTGGATTCAGAAGGTTCAACTTGCAAACTTAGTACCAATTCTATGTGATTTTAAGAAGTTTATCATCCATGTAGAAGGGTATGGTTAGTTTTTTCATGTGTGGTATGGTTCATAAATTCATGAGACTATACATCCATTATCTGTGTTTAGCATCATGCCCTTTTTTGGAGTGATAATTGTGATGTCTGGGTCGGCTTGCACCTCAACTATTCCACGAGGCTCTTGCTACCTTCTATCAATACAAGTACCGGGTAACTCTGCACACCTAGAATTATGCATCTTCTATAGAAATGTAAAAAGAACCAATGCACGTGTAGACATAGTCACACTCATTGTCTTTGACGAAAAGAATTAGAAATGTATTTGTAAATTCTACGCCATTCATTTCATTCTTTGTAGTGATGTTTAATTAGATATAAAGTTAAAGAAATAAAGAAAGATTTCCGACAAATGAGCTAAACATGAAAGGTGGAGATGTTCCATATATCCTTTAATATTTCTTTCTCCTAATAAAAATGTTACTGTGTAAGCTTTATATCAGTTGAGTTTCGACAAGTCCCGTCAGTATTCCAAATACAGAAGATGATATTCATTTGAAAGATACTAAAAAAAAAAAAAAAAAAAAAAAAAAAAAAAATGTGTTTGCAAAATGGGACTAACGGAGATTTGCTTAAGTGGGTTCGGCTCTGCGCCATTACTTTGGCTCCAATAAACATCAATAAGTCTGCACATGGATGACACATGTTCATATAATTATGAAGGATTGAGATTATTTTTTAATTTATTCTTGTATTTTTTGTTATTCTCCATCTTTTGCGAACCGAAACAAGAATAGTAATAGTTCCAACTGACTATTACTTGAGTATGACAAAATATGTACATAGTGCACTGATTTTTTATTTTATTAATTAATGGCATTAATTACTGATTTTCTACATATAAAAAGCTAACCAAATTTTATTCAATTAAACAATTAATTCATATATATAATTTTTTATAAGAATACAATACACTCTTTGCTATGTTTGTGCTTTCATGGAAGGGAACAATTGGTTTGGTATTGACATGAGATAAGTACATTAGAAGGATAAAATTTTTGACGTTAGCAAGTTCCTTCTTGTTTCGGTCCGCAAAAGATGGAGAATAACCAAAAAATACAAGAATAAATTAAAAAGCAATCTCAGACCTTTATAGTTATATAAAAATGTGTCATCCATCTGCAATTGTATTGATATTTATTGAAGCCTAAAGTAATGGAACAGAGTGCAGTTCATGAACTGAGCAGCTGAAAAAGTAGACATCTTCTAAGTTCCGGTCAAAGAAACAGTGAAAACGCGAAGGCATCAACAGTTTACGCGGAGAACATTGAAAGCAGTGGTCCTTTTGCTTTTAGAATCAATTCCAATTTTTCGCTGGTTGGTGTCCTCCATTCATTATCTTTATTCTGTTTATTCTCCTTCTGTAAATAATACTACAAGTTGCTTAAAATTATTCCACATGGTATAGAAAACTAATTTGCCAACACAAGAGATACGTATCTGCGCATCTCAGCTAATTCATCGGGTACCTAATACATGCATAAAGTAATTAACCAGTGTATGTTCATTGATAACAATTAATAAGCGTTAAAACGATTTTATCAGTACCAAGTTGAATTTGAGAAAACAATAAAATCATCACAGTTCGGTCAACTTGAATTTATGATTGAAGTCAAATTAGGTAACTGAGTAGTAATAAGAGTTTTTTCTTAGATATGTTAACATTTGTATACTGATTAATACAAAAATCAATAAAGAAATAGTAGTGTATAAGAATACAGAAATTTTGATTTTAAGGTTACTTGTGACTTATGCAAAGCATATCTTGAGAATAAATTCTCGGTGACAAGACAAATATCATGTTGGAACTTAGAAAGCAGGTATCATCTGGTACTAGAAAGGTATTACCTTCACCAAATATAGCATATTTAGCCACTCAGAATCAAAATCTCCTTAAACTTCTTAACTCTTCTAAAAATAAAGTTACAACTTTTGCCTAACACTTTCAAAGGAAAATCTTCATTAAACATGGGCACATTAGATATGCGTAGCCATTGGATTAAGTGTTATAACAGGGAATGCATGCAAATCATATTGTTTACCCGTAAAACGGTATAGTTGAATTTATACGTAGTTTCTAGATAAGTGAATTAATTTGATTCTGAAATAAATAAATAATTGAAGAGTTACGCAATACTTAGTCTTAAAATATAAGACGAAACAACAGAAGCAACAATTTCAGAAATAAGGTTTCCGGGCACAACTACAAAAGAATCGAAAAATCAGAAGATAAAATTGGGGAGTAGTCCCCCGAACATGTTGAGGATACTGCATGACATGCACTGGTGTAGTGTCACTCCCTTCGTTATGGGTATCGCTGATTGAGTCCTCGGAATGAAGCTGATCCCCTCGAATCTCGGGGTTGTGCATGTCGTTAACAGTGTTATCTGCCATTTCTTATGATTTTTTCTAAGACAAAAACGATCAAAACACGTTAGTAAAAAAGGCAAGGATCAATTTAATTACACGACTATCTAGTTCCCACGGTGGACGCCAAACTGTTTACCCATAAAACGGTACAGTTGAATTTATACGTGATTTCTAGATAAATAAATTAATTTAATCCTGAAATAAATAAATAATTGAAGAGTTACGCTGTCATGCCCCGACCTCGAGGAGCGCAACCGGCGCTCAACCGAGTAAACCCAGTCGAGCAAGCCTAATTTACATTAACTCTCATCATTACTCATGCGTGATTTACCATAACATAATTAGATCTTGACTTTCAAATTGAATACATTTGGTTCAATAGCCTAAAATTCTCCTCATTATGGATACATAGCTTTATAAATAACTGTAAATACTGTGAACATAGATACATGACAAAACTCAAAACTTTAAGTACATAACCCAGAGTGTACATGGAGTTTCTATGACAATAGATACCTAAATACATAAAATGAACTAAACCCAAACACCCCCTAGAACTGTAGCGGGCTCACCATAAGCTGAGTAGTGAAGAAGATCCCTATCAGAGATCTATATCATCCTGTAGAAATATACATTCATCCATTAAAAGATGCAGTGCCCCCGGCAAAAGGGACATGAGTACATGTCGGATAGTGCTCATATGTAAGGCAGTCAAAACAACATATGAAAATATGGTAGCTCCAATAAAAAGTAAATAAAGTATATCAAGAAACTATGAAACATCACATAGAATCACATTTCATGTATTATTATACTTGCATCATTTTAAACTTATTTTAGGATCAACTGAGCCATATGAACTATACATGGAATACATAATATAATATAATTGAAACAACATGTACAAACAAGGCCAATGAAAGTGGTACCTCCCTCTCTTATTTTATACCTATATATTTCATAAATCGTCCTTATTGTTTACATATCATATTATATACCTATGTGTCTCATAGACTGTCCATAGTGTTTATTCATACCGTACACCTATACATTTCATACACAATACACCTATATGTTCCATAGACCGTCCGTAGGATTCCATACACAATATACCTATTCAAGGACTTGAAAATACAACATGAATATGATGAATCATGGTAACAATAAAATGGGCTTAGATAGCCGTTAAAGTCAAGCAAATTTATTAAGAGCTTCCAATAACATTTATAGATTTTAAGTCGGGGATCCTCTATAACCACCTTCACATAAAGCGGTCCTGCCGCCTCTCTCTAATGTATGCGGGTTAGGTGTAACCATGATACCATAAACTCTACACAAAGCGGCCTTGCCGCCTCACCCCAATGTATGCGGGTGGAGGTGTAATCACAATACCACAATTCTACACAAAGCGGCTCCGCCACCTCACCCCAATATATGCGGGTGAAGGTGTATCACAATACCACAATCTCTACACAAAGCGTCCCTACCGCCTCACCCCAATATATGCGGGTGGAGGTGCAACTGTGATACCATAAACACTACACAAAGCGGCCCTGCCGCCTCATCCTAATGTATATGGGTGGAGGCGAACCCATGATACCATAAACTCTACACAAGCAGCCTTGCCGCCTCACCCCAATGTATGCGGATAAGGGTGTAATCACAATACCACAATTCTACACAAAGCGACCCTGTCGCCTCACCCCAATATATGCGGGTGGAGGTGTATCGCAATACCACAATCTCTACACAAAGAGGCCTCGTCGCCTCACCCTAATATATGCAGGTGGAGGGGTATCACAATACTACAATCTCTACACAGAGCGGTCTTGCCGCTTCACCTCAATATATGCGGGTGTAGGTGTATCACAATACCATATATAAACTCAAAGCGACATGATTAACATTACATTTAAGGTCGTAATTTCCCATATCATTGGAATACTTCATATTCATGCTTATCATGGAGAAACACAGCTCATTACATTAACACATGCATGGTGAATCAATAAGTCAATTTCAATAGCACATGAGCCCAATTTCTTTTCTTAAGGTTCATCATCATCTAGCATAGGACATCTCCCTTTCATCTCGTTATTCACTCACTTGACATCTTGGGGTCATTAGATAGGTTCATGACTCTTGAGGACTTAACAATAGAAGTCATTTGCATTAATTATTTTTAAAAGCATACATATTATGATTGAAACCATTGAAACATACAATGCCTCATAATTCTCATTTTGGCAAGCGGCCATATTTCATGTTCATACTATCACTTACTTGTATTTTCCATGGGTGATCATAGAACATTAAGAGCATTTAAAACATTTAGGAACACCATAGCCTTTACTCATGAGAAAGTAGGAGTTTATAACAAATTGAAAACAAAAATACAAATACGTTCATCTCATAACCTTTCACGTCACATATCACTTCATTCGTACTTTCAACCACTTACAACATCATTATTTCATTGGCTCTCTTGGCCATACATATGATTCTTCTTTCATGGCATAATGGTCGTATTTCATATTCCACACTTTTATATCTTTCTTTTCATGGATCATCATCATAAATATCAACATATAAAATATTTCAGAAATCATAACTTTAGGTTTATTAGTAATGAAGGCTTTAAACACAATAGATTTCTTTTCAAGAAATGGAGTAAAATTATTGGCAATCGAAGCACAAGTTAAAATCATAAACGAGTAACACATCATTTATTCTTGAAATACTTTTCCCCCAAAGGCAATACACAGTTTAAATTCATGAATATATAAGAGCTCAAAACACATTGGAAATACTTACAAAGCATAGCATTAGTTGAAACAACCATATTTGGGCACGACTTGAGTACATAAGCTTTTAGGCAAATCTATTTTCAAAGTCAATTTAGAACAGTTGAA